GGGGTGGGGAGGGAGGAAGGGCGATGGGGTGTACACATGCGAAGAAACAGAACAGGGAAGAGTGTTAATAAGGAACAGGAAGAAGGGTAGAAAGCGCGGAGAAAGAGAGAGGGCGAAGGAGGAGGAAGGAGGGGGGGGGGGGAGGTGAAGGAGTTGGATGGAAGAGAGTTGGAAGAGGGGGGGGCAAAAAGAGGGAACGGGAGGGGGAAAGGGGGGAAAGGGTGAGGGGGAAGGGAGGGGGAGGGGAGGGGGTGGGGTCCGCAGAGAAGAAGCGTGAAACGTCTCAAGAAGGAACACCATTTCCTCTTTTCTTGTCGACTCCTTCCCCTTTCCAGCGCCTTCCTGACACAGCCACTGCCAACCACTCCTTCCGGCCCTCTCTCGCTCTCCCTCCTCTTTCTTCTTCTGGCTCTCTCGCCTCTCTCGCTCTCCCTCTTTCTCTCTCTCTTCTGGCTCTTCCTCTCTTCTCGCTCCTCTCCCTCTCGCCTCTTTCTCTTTCTCTTCTGGCTCTCTCGCTCTCCTCTTTTCTTTCTTTCTTTCTTGTGTGTGTGTGTGTGTGTAGTTGTTCATGTATTTATTCATTAATTTATCTCCCCTTGTTTTCATTTTCATCTCTGTTTGATTTAGTTCTACCTATCTTCTTTTCTCTCTTTCTTGTTAGTTCCCATATTTTACTATGTTCTCTATCTATCTGTCTATCTACCTAAATATCTGTATATCTCTCTATTTATTTATCTATCTATTTTAGTCTCTCTCTCTCTCTCTCTCTCTCTGACTATTTATATATCAGTCTTTACGTCTATCTCTCTTTCATTCTTTCTTTACGCAATCTTATTCTCCCTTTCTTTCCCTCATTCCTCTTTTCTCTCTCTCTCTCTCTCTCCTTTGATCTCTCCCGCTTTACCCTTTACTCTGTACACACGTATGTACGTATGCATGTACACACAAACACACCAGGTACCCACATGGTCGCCTTGCACTGTTACGTGACCCAAGAATTAATTAGACGGTAATTATACGCGAGGTTTTGTGGAAACAGTGCGGTCTTCCTTGCATTTTTCTGCATTCTCTGCTCGCGAGGAAGGACCAGATTTCTACTCGTTGGCTGAAGGTCGGGTTGTAGTTTTTTTTAATCGTTGGCGGTCTTCGTTCGTATTTTTGTGTTGTGAGGATGGTGTTGAGCGGTTCCATGCTACACGGGAGGAAAAAGACACACACACTCACTTAAAACAGAAAACAAAACAAACACACACGCACTCTTCTTCTCCACTCTTTTTCCCTTGCTTCTCACACACACACAACACACACACACAACACCACACACACACACACACACACACACACACACACACACACACACACACACACACACACACACACACACACACACACACACACACACACACACACACACACACACACACACACACACACACACACACACACACCACACACCGTCAGCCAGCGACGCGGAACCCTGGCGCCGCCGAGCCGAATATAGGCCGCTCGCGCTTCGTGTCGCCGCTCGTTCTCGGCGAATTTCTTCCATTCATCAGCCTTCACGGAACGGAGCGCGGAACGGCGGCGGCGGCGTGTCCGGTGCTGCATGAGTGTCCGAAGAAACGTCCGGGGTGTCCGCAACTGCCGAAATGTCCGCACGTGACAGCCTGCCTCCCACCATTACGGACATCCGGGGCGACCTCTCCCCTCCCCCCTCGCTCTCTCCCCTCCCCCCCCTCTCCCCTTCAATGCCGTGGATATAAGAACATGCTTAAGTATAGTCCGTAAAGTCCAGGTCGAGGAGGGGAGGTGGGAGACTCCATGACCAGGGGAGGGGAACTCCGTGACCAAGGGGGAAGGGGGGACTCTAGGACCAGGGGGAAGGGGGAAAGGGGGGGACTAAGACCATGGAAGGGGGAGAGGGGGAAGAGGGGCCAGAGGGAAAGGGGGGGGGAGAGGGCCAGAAGGAAGGGGGAACTAGGACCATGGGAAGGGGAGGGGGTAAGGGGGGGAGGGGAGGGGGGGAAGACGTACAGTAGCGAGCGTGTGGGAAAGTTGGTGACCCGGCCGGGTGCGTGTGTGAACGTCAGGCAGCTGTTCGAGTGTACCGTTTCCTTGGCAGATTTTTCGTGAGTTTTCCACTTTGCAATGGTCAATTCTCACCCTTCACCCCCTCCCCCCCTTCACCTTCTTTCCATACATACCCCTTTCCTCCCTTCCACCCCTCTCCTACCTCCGTACACTATTTTTCCTTCCCTACCTCTTCCTCTCTCCTTCTCTCCCTCTTTCCCTCCCCTTCGTTCTCTCCTTAATTTTCCCACACACTTGCATTGTCTTTTATTGCTACCTCTCTCTTATCCGTTAGTCATTATGTCTTCGTCTCCTAATTTTCTTTTTTTTTTACTTTTTTTTTTTTTTCTTTCACCTTCACGCAACTATTTCATAATTCTTTCCCACCGTCTACGTATCCTTCAGACGTCTATTAAATTTTCAAAAATGTTACACCATTTCTCTGCCATTTTACAAACGTCATTATAACAACACACAACATTCACCACACCACAACATCGATTAGCATAGCCGCAATTAGCCACCTACAACCTTCACAACATCCGTTTCTCTACAACATGTCGGTGATAGAAATGAAAACTTATAATTTATTCATCCAACAACACATTTTCATGACTTTCTACCTACACTAAGAGAATGTTCAAAATCTGTACGGATTCAAAATCTGTACGGATTTTACCCGAGGTTGTGTTACAAATCGGTGTTGCTAGAGTTGTGACCACAATCGTCACAACCTGCAACGCACAACCCGTCACAGTGGTCTACAACCGTCCTTCTCACCGCCCTCCCCCCCCCTCTTCCCTCCCACCACATCAAACCTTCCCCCTTCACCCCCTCCCCCCTCTTTCCTTCATTCCCACCTCTAGCAACACTGGAATGATTGTTTTCACCCTCCATTACTTCCACCTTCACCCTTACGCCTCCCCCTTCCCTCCCCCTTTTCCCCCTCCTTCCCTCCCCCCCCTCCCTCTTCCCATGGCACTTTGGCCCTCTGTGGTCACCAGCGCTCGGAGGCCGTGGCAAGCGAATCTCGACCTTCCGTGCGTGTGCTTATAAGGTCCATTTCCCCCGCGATTTCCTCCTCGAAGGGGGGAAGATACCTGACTCCTCGTTGGTGCCCGCTCGTACATTTTCTTTCCTTTTTTTTACTTTGATTTTAACAAGAAATTACAATGATCGCCGAACACAGACCCCAAAGCCGCGGCGTCGTGTTCCTTGCCCCCCTTTTTCCTGTTTCCTGACCCTCCCTCCCTCCCTCCCCCCCTTCCCCTTTTTAACGCACCCCCCTCCCCCGAGGCCGAGATCACACCTTCCGCGGCCCAGACACCCCCCTCCCCTCCAGACACCACACTGCGGCGCCTTTCACGACTTTTCGTTGTAATATCTTTCATTTTGTATCTACAGTTGGAATAATTCACCTCTGAACCATATATGAATACATACGCATGCACATATATGTACGCATTACCTATAGTCATTCACATACTCTTGAACAATACACATCAGTCATTAAAGATACATAATACGCATACATGTACACGCACACAAACACATATATGCACAGACACGCATTGTTATGAACAATGTATACCCTTCGTGCCTTTCTCTTCTTGTTTGACTTTTTTATGTAGGAACGTATCGGTTGCAACAAAACAATGTATCTCGAAATTGCACAGAAAATGCAGAGAGGGAAAGGGAAGGATTGCATTCAGGGTGATGTAAAGTTGCAAGTTTTGTTTTCAACGCCGGGAAATGGCCCCGTGTTTCTGTCTTTTTCAACATTATCCACAGAATCTCATATCTGCTTGTGGTTTCCTCATGGTCACAAAATATTATTCTGGGGGACGCGGCAAGCTATTCTCTCTTTCGTAACCCGACAATAGCGGAAATTGGAATGACGAAAGTGTCTCCGACTCTTATGTCTCCTGAGCATAAAAAAGTGAGACATTTTCACGACCAATATAAAACGAAAACCAAACAAGATATAAACCTAGAACAATAGATTTGAAGTAAATTGAATCGAAATGGAAATAAACTTTCGCGGGAGTTGCATATACAACAAAAATAAACGCTCCAGTTTCTCGTTTACACAACCCGCATTTAAGCACGCGGCGATCCCTCCTCGGGCGCAGACGAACGCCGACGCCTCGCTGCTTCTAAATAATTTCCCGGCCATAAATCTCGTCCAGGAAAGCTTGATTGGGATTCCCGGCGATTAAATGGGTCTCGTTTTGCGTGCGGAGCCGTGACTGTCGGCGCCACGTATGGATAGCGACATAATTTCTGCCGTTTGAAGCTCTCCGTGCCGCGTCCTGTGTTGCCTCGTTTCAACATAATTAATAGTCACGTGCGTTGGCCTTCGTGTGGAATTCACCTGTGGTGTGGATTTCTTAGCTTGCGATCTTAATTTTTCATGTTTTTTGTATATTTATCTATTTATTTGGTATATCTATTTATTTATTTGATATATATTTACTTATTTATTTATTTGATATACCTATTTTATACATTTGATATATTTATGTATTTATTTACTTGCATATCTATATGTATTTGTTTCGGAGAAAAGACTATATTATCTAAAACAAACCAATTGTTTAAATGGCGCATTGTGCGCTGTGGCTGCCACTTATCGCTCTTGGCATACTTACAGGTGTGAATTATAGTATCACTATCGTGTTAGGTACAATGGTACAATTGACTTTTGAAAGGTCTGGTTCGGTTGTACTCCAGTGCATTCACTGCTTTGCATATGAGCTTTGTATGCGTGCGTATGTCTGCGCGTTTGTGTGGGTGCGCACATGTGTGGATTTGCAGACAATGTTAATATGGATTTTCTTTTTAATATTAATGCTGGTGCTATCGACCCGCGTGGCGAGTGTCGATCGCCGACGAGCCCTCGAGACTAACCCGCCGTGTTCCTCTTGCAGATCCCCGGACCTGGAGCCGCGACGACGTGCACAGATGGCTCCACCACGTGTCCGAGGCGCACCAGCTGCCCCGCGTCTTCCCCGAGCGCTTCCTCATGAACGGCAAGGCTCTGTGCCTCATGACCCTTGACATGTTCGTCCAGCGAGTGCCTCTCGGCGGCAAGCTGCTCTACAAGGACTTCCAGCTGCGGCTCTGCAACGCCATGTACGCCTGAGTGTCCTCGGAGGCGTCTGGACCGAGCCTTAGAAGGGCCCGTCCGTCCTGCGCCCGGAGCGACCCGGCGCCCGAGAGATCCGAGTCTGCGGGATGGACACGCGGCCGCACAAGTTTTAAATTGGACATGTTCCAGGCGGGGGCGACGTGGCGCGCAGAAGGGCGCCTTGGCCCCGCCTCGTCGTGTTGTTACGCCAAAGATAGTTGCTAGAGCGCCTCGGCCGTGCGCATCCCTCGCGTCCTGCAGGAGGATCACCGCGCTCGGGGCCGCTGTGTTCCTACGCCCTTTTTTTCGAGAAGCCCTGCCCTCAGCCCCAGTTCCTCGCCACCTTCCTGCCGTCAACGCCCTTCCCTGCCTCTCGTCTCTTGGAGGAACCCGGGGCGGACAGCTTTGCGTCACGCCTTTGTGCGCCCCTTACGCCCTTTGTCCCAGGTGCGAAGCGAGGCGCCGGAGGCCCGACCGCTACACTTAACCCCTTTGGATACTCGCCGACAAAGGAGCGCGACGGAGTTTCCTCTCGGCAAACGGCGTGGTCAGTCGGACATGTAGGGTAGGCAGGGCCGGGCGAAGGGGAGGAGAAAGGGAGTTTTCATTACCTCGCCCCCCCCCTCGACGACGACCCCTCCCCTGCCACGGCCCCCCGCATCGACCACCAAACAGGAAACCGGTACAGGCACTTCCTGGTCCCGCCGGCGCGCCGAGGGGAGCCCACGCATTTCCGTCCACCGAACATCCCCTCGCGCGGACCCTCGCCTCGCGCCGCGTCCCCTCGGCCTGCCTCTCGAGGGGACTCTCGGTGCTCTGTCGACAGCCGTGCAGACGCTCAGACTGCGTGACTCAGTATCGCTGTGAAAAGAAATAAAAGTTGTCAGCAGTCGAGCAGTCGTGAATTGAGGTGTCCGGACTCCCTCTCCTCTGCCTCCGGACGCATTTCAAAGCAAGCAAGCGCCGCCCCCTTCAGCTCCACCTGACGTGACCTCGCCCGTCCGGTCGCCAACGAACCTTGGCCTAGACACTCCCCCTTCCTCCGCCTGCAAGACGACACCCGCCTCATATCCGCCCCTCTGCCTCCCCTCGGCCGCCCGGAAAGCCAACACCGCCCCTGCGTTAGTCTGTCAACACGTGACTAGCCCTCCTCGGCTCTCCCCTCGTCCTCCCCTCCGCGACGTGTACTACGACTACTGCTGCTGCCACCGCCCCCCTCCCCCTCCCCCTCCAGCTGCCCCGCGGGGAGAGGGGGGCAGGGGAGGGCCCAGGCAGCGGACGGACATCCTGGCAAGCTCGCCGATACAGAATCAATGCCGCCCAGGGGAAGACACGCCCTCAGCGGTCAACTGTCACTTCCGCCCACGCTGATAACCGGCCCAACAGCACCAACACCGACGCAATAACCAACAACAAACAAGAAGGACGACAACAACAACAGAAGCCATGCACCGAAGGGACAACTCTTGGTGCGTTTTTGCTCTTTGAGTATTTCCTGCTGCTCTGGTGCCGCATTTAGCGTCGGTTCCACGTCGGCCATTAAGCGTACGGAAATATGGCGACATAGCAGAGCGAATCCCCAGAAGAGAGAAGCATCCCGAGCGAGATCCGAGGAGATCTGGCCCCAAGTCTCGCGTCTCCCGCCAGCATCGCGGACTCTCGCCTAAAGATGCTTGAGTCCCCCCTCCCGCCCGCCCGCATTGTCCGTTTTCCTCGCCCAGGTAAGGAACCCGGGCAGGTAAGTTAGGCGAGGAGGGGGGGGGGAGGTGATAAGGCTGGGGACCTGAGCGACGATACCCGGACGACACTTCCCACCCTCCCCACCCTATCCCCCCCACACACCCCCACCGCAAACACCGTCGTTGCCACTGCTTTGACCACGTGCGGGACAGCTGCCCTGACTTCACCGGAAACAGCTGATCTGTCGGGATAACAGCTGACCGCTTCTCATCCTCACCCTCCCCTTACGTCGCACTCTCCCCAGAACCGCCGCCTCCGTGTCTATTGTGTCGGCCGCTTAGTATTGTTAACATTTACCAGGAGATGATTTAGTGTCTTCGGGGAAGTCTCATGCAGTGCCTTGTTAGTTTTTTTTTTTTTTTTTTTTGGTATATGCTGGGTATTCGGGGTATGTGTAGGGTGTCGGATTACGCGTGTGTGTTTAGCGATGGTTTGACGCGTAATTTGTGTATCCGATGATGCATTTCTTTGCTCGAAGTGCCCCCCCCCCCCCCGTCTAATTATAGCCTCCCGAACGCCTAAGAATCTGACACCCAAGTTCCTCTTTCCGTGGCGCCCTCCCCCCCTCTCTTCCCTCCAGCGCCTCTCTCTCCCCTCTCCATCTCCCCTCTCCCACCCCCCTCCCTCCTCTCTCTCCCCTCTCCCCTCTTCCCTCTCCTCTCACATCCACCGCCTCTCTCTCCCCTCTCCCACAACAAGCATCATCAACAGGACACAGCGCAGATAATAGCGATAGCGGCAGAGGACGTGGAGGCGGCGGCGGCGGCGACACCCCTGCGCAGTCAGAGTACCGACGGCGCCGCCACCGGTTCCTCCGACGCTGCTATCGCCCCCTCCAACCTATCTTCCTTCTCCTCCCCCCCCTCCCTCTTTCTCAGTCTCCGTCTGATCCTCATATACCTCTTCCTCCTCCTCCTCCATTTCTTCCTCCTTCATCTTCTTCCCTCCTTCACCACCTCCACCTCCACCTCCTCCACCTCCACCTCCTCCTCCTACTCCTCCCCCACCCCCCTACCCATCCACGGACGACCTCGTGCGTGGCGCCGAGCGGGGTCGCCCTTCCGGCACGACTCGCATCTACCAACAACAGGATCCGTCCGTGGCTCTTGTTGTTGTTGCTGCTGCTGTTGTGATTGTTGTGATTGTTAATAATGTCACGGATGTTCACGCTGGATGCTCGCTCGGCAACCTCCTGTCGACTTCCATGTATTGTCAATAGATGGGGCTTTTTTTTTTTTTTTTGGTGTGTTTTTTTTTTTTTTTTTCTTTTTGTGGGGAGGGGATTCTTGTTTGGAGGTGTGTTATAAGATGCTTACTCTCTATGTGTCTATCTGTATGTCTGTGTCTCTTATTCTGATCTATCTGTTTATTTTCTCTCTCTCTCTCTCTCTCTCTCTCCTCCTCTCTCTCTCCTCTCTCTCTCTCTCTCTCTCTCTCCTCTCTCTCCCTCTCTCCCTCCTCTCTCTCTCTCTCCTCTCTCCTCTCTCTCTCTCTCTCTCCCTTTCTCCCTCTCTCCCTCAATATCCGGACTTTGTTGAAGTATCGAAACGGAACTGCGAGCCAGATAACAGGCGACCTTGCTGCCCTCTTCCGCCAAATTGACCCTAAAATACCGGACAGGAAGTTCAATTGGTGCAACTATAACGAAACAGAGAGAGAGAGAGAGAGAGAGAGAGAGAGAGAGAGAGAGAGAGAGAGAGAGAGAGAGAGAGAGAGAGAGAGAGAGAGAGAGAGAGAGAGAGAGAGAGAGACGGGTAATACAGGAGGCGGACTATAACTTGATACTGATGTTGATAACGATAACAGCGACGATTATGATGCCGATCAAATTGCATCGTATCATCTGGTTTGAAGGTATAACCGATCAGGGTGAAGGCAGAAGTTTCAAAGTTATAAACCTTGTTCATTTGTTCATCGGAGAGTGAAGAAAAGAATAAATAACATGAAGACTAACAGGAAACCTCCCCTCCCCCCTTTTCTCTCTCTCTCCCGCCATGACCGAATGATGGAAGAGCTGTGAATAATAATTGACTCTCTCTCTCTCTCTCTCGCTTTCCTCGTGGTCGGTAACAACACGATGATGGGCGTGAGATAAGCCGAGATAAGCTCCAGGTGACTCGGGATTACCGCGGTGACCTCCTGCAGTTCGTATTACCGTCGGCGATAAGCTCGGCGAGGGTGGGGGTCGGAGCCGAGGTCAGAGGTCGCGGCCAGGTCAAAGCTTGTTTGGGAAATTCCTGCGGAGGAATGCTCGTTTCAGCTTCATCTGCATACCGGAGCTTTCCCTCCCCTTCCCGCCGCGCCTGTCTCCGAGGGCCGTCCTTTGTCGCTTCCTCTCTCTCTCTCCTTATCTCTCTCTCGTTCGCATTTTTCTCTCTCTCTCTCGCTCTCTCGCTCTCTCTCTGTCGTTCCTCATCGATCAATCACTCCCTCTTCGTATTTTTCTTCCCTTTAGATTATTGTCCCGCTGCTTTGATCCTCCCTCCCCCCGCACCAGCCCCATCCTCCCTCCCTCCCTCCCCCCCCCCTGCCCCAGCGCTAGGCTCAGGCAGAAGGGCAGGACAGCTGAGGAAGGCCCCAGGAAGTGTCTCATCGGACAGGGCAGATTGAGGAAATCTACCCTAACCTCCCACCATTGTCCATGCCCCTGTGCCCCTCCCCCTTCCCTCCCCCTCCATCCCCTCTCTTCATAACCCCCATTCCTCCCCCCCACTTCCCTCCTCCCCCTCCCTCTTCCCTGTACCTCTTTTCTCTCCTTTCTTCCGAAACGTTTACGCTTTCTATAATAGTTAGATTAAAAGGTTGAGAAGAAAAATCTCTTTTTTTAGGTTATAATCGAAGATGGAGAATATAAGTTATGTGTCTGTGGTGGCGTTTGTGTAGTAGATTTTTTTTTCTGAAGGTTCAGGGGGAAAAAAAGCGTGGAAAACTGAAAGAGCGTGGTTAGCTATTCTTCTCCCCTTCCTTTCCCTTCTCTCTCCCTCTCTCCTTCATCTCGTATACGTTTATGTCGAGGTCGAGAGAAAAGGGAATTATATTCTACGATTTTTTTTTTTTTTTTTTTTTGCTACTACTTTTTCCTTCTTTCTCTTTTATGTCTTTGTTCATGTATTAGCTATGCATTAATTAGGGTTTTAGTGTTAGTTACCCCCTTGGCTCTTAGGCGAAGGGGTGTCCAGGCGACCATACCTCCAAGTGACCTATTTTATAGAGTATAGAAACTTATTTTTCTGACGTGTTCGTGTCCTTCTCTCGTGTGACGCTGAAAACTGCCAAAGTGGATACGCATCGCGGATATAGTTTGCGAATTGTAGACCGAATATACACGGTTATTTTTCTACTGTGACTTTTATCTATGATGTGTAAGAAGCATTACTTTTGATAATGAAAGATGAGAGGAAAAAAATCATTTTATTATTATTATAATTAGTGCTTCTTGTTGTTAATATTTTTTTTTTCGTATGTACGTAAGGTCTTTTGTTAGTGGACGGTGCATCCTCCAGTCAAATTGTGTATATATTTTAGTGTATTTTCTCGTATTTCTCCCTATGTATGTTCTCTAGTCTTGCCTTGCACAAAACTTTAAATACACTTGCAATACAGCACATGATTATCTTGCTGTCTTGCAGGTATTATTGATATAATTATTTGGACTATTATTATTATTTGTATCCTTTATTTTACCTTTCTTTGTGAACAGACATTTTTGTGATAACGGATTTGTTTGTCTCGATTAA